TTCCTTCAGTAAGTTTTGCTTTGATACTGTGATGGAATGGGTCATTACAGCAAAATAGCAGGGCTGAAAATCCTCACCCTAAAATTATTCATGACTGCATAAAACTCATTATTTCAGAAAGAGAATCCTTGTCTGGACAAAGCAGAACAGCTGTCCTGTGTAAAACTGGGCCTGTCAAAGATGCTTGTTAAAAGCTAGGGAAAAGCTGTTCTCAGAGCTTGTGTTGGCATGAAATTAGGGTGATCTTTTAGTTCTGCATTACCTGTCCAGACATGCAGGAGAGAGAAAATGCAGGCCTCTTGGTTAAGCACAGGCATAGCTTGTTCTCAACTACCAGGGCATATGGAAGGGAAATGGTTTGTAACTCTCACAGCAAAACAAACATTTCTGTTAGCCATCCACTCAGTTGTCACCCAAGGTATTATCTCCTTTATATTCAAGGAAGTTACTGTTATGATGGCTGCTCATGCTAGGCCAAACAGCTTTATTAGTGATAATCCCTTCCCTTTGATTTCTCAGGGCTTTGAGTGATAAACACTAATCCTGCCAGGCACTTTGAGGTGAGTCTCCAAGCAAACATATTAACTCAGCAAACAAAAGGGTTAGGCTTGCTCTTGGGGGGGGCAATACTAAAGGGACTCCTGAGAACTAACAGCATTTAGATATAATAGATGTGCTGCTGACAAGTAAAATTCAATAGCTGAGGATGAGGCTTGAAGTCAGAGGATGCACATTATTGATTCAAACTCTCTCCCTTTTCTTGCTGAGATTCTAATCTGATTTCCCAACTCCTTCTTTCAGTAAACCTAATCGGTTCTCCCAGCATTGATTCTCAGCGCATTGCAGGTTACAGTGACTTGGGCAGACTCTGTTGACTGAGGAAGAGGCTCTCTGGGCCCACAAGAGGTGCACTGTGTGTGGTGTACAAGGTCTGGGTTCAGGTTTGGCAGTCTCTGAAGAAGCCATGTAGTGAAGGACAATAGATGAACTCTGGGTTACGGAAAAGTGGCTACAAATGGAACAAGAAGGCTGGAAGAAGGAGGGCTGGTGGATAGTGCAGGTATCAAATCAGGCTTACCAAACCTTGTCAGTGTCTTCCTGCTTGTACCTCTAAGTTAGCTGAGGATGAAAAGGCACATTTTAATGAGTGGGGCTTGGATATTTCTTGAGAGATTTATTCTTAACTAAAACTCTAAAATACTGTCTTACACTTGGGGTTGATTTCACGTTCCCTAAAGCTATTCAAAGATATTTGCCCTGAGACATATCAGTAAGAAGCTCTTATATCACCTTTTCTAGACAGAAGCAGTTTGACACACAAACCTACAAAGTAGACCTACTTTGTTTCTGAAATGATTGTGCAAAGCTTGGGCAGCTTCATGGAAAAAGGATTATGATCTGTGAGGATTCTTCTGTGGTTTTTCTTCTTTGTAGCATAGGCAGCTAATTAGGATTGCTATTTTTTTCCTTAAGAAAAGGTCTCTCGATTTCATGCTTATGAAATATTAAGAATAGTTAATATTGACAAGAGTGCATGTAGTCTGTCAAGAATAAAAGAAGAACAGATATTCAGAAAAAAAAAATGTATTACTTCACAGATATCACATACTATTGATATTAGAAATAGAACAATTCATTGTAGTGAATCCAGTTTCTGAGTAAGCACATGCCTTTTGATAAAAGGTGAGTAGGAGTCATCAACAAAGTTACAATAGGACTCTTCAAAACAGATTGGTTATTGCAATGTGTTGATAGAGTTGACCCATGTGTTATTTTGTTTTGAGCATACAAACAAGCAAGCAGGAGCCTTTTTAAGCTGAATTGTTCTTAAAATTGCAGATGATGTGAAGATGAAGTCAAGACTGGGTGAAGTCATAAAAAATGTCTATTCTTAATTTGCATGAATCAGAATAAATTTAATGTATAGGTTTCTGTGTACATTAACCAAGTCTTGAGTTTTCCATGATTCAGAGGGTCACGGTGTTGCTGTTTCACTTCTGAGTTAAACTCGTGCCATGGAGACAGATGTTCCTGGGATGTGAAACAAAAGTTTGCCTCTGTTGTTAATTTGAGTGCAGTTCTTTGAAGCCTGCTGAGCCAGTGCCTAATTAAACTGCAGACACACTCCAAACAAATGAAAAAGTAATGCTGCTTCTCACAGATAACATTTAAGGTGACAATTTCTTCTCAAGTGAAATCTACTTGGGGAAATCAATTCACTGCTGAAGCAGAAACTCTTTCTGTAATACTTCATTATGTGAAGGCATTACTATAGCCCATACAGTATAGAAGAACTCGTGCTGTTTGGAGATCTCAACTGTATCCAGTCAGAGCCATGGGACAAGTGCAGTTTTAGTCTCATTTCTTTAATTTGAAGCCAGAGCTATATTCTTTGTCTGCAGTAACATTATTCTGAGAGTGATGACTGGTTGTGCTACACATAGAGAAGAAATCTCTTATGAAATGTTTGGATGCTGTAGACTAGTGATTAGTTTGGAACTTAAAATTCCTGAAGTGTTCCTTCCTGACTTCTCTAATTACATCAGCTGTATTCATTTGTTCTGTTTTCAAATTAAGCCACACACCTTGTGTCTAGGCTTTCTCATGGCAGTATCTACCAGGAAAGCTGATGTTCCAAGTTAAGTTTTGTATTTTTAAACATGCATTACAGTAATTAGGATGTACTTTGAGGCAAAGAGAGAGAGGGCAAGGGAAATGAGCTGTGATGTTCCTAATGACCAGTGCTATTTTTCACACTATTTTTTCAAGGTTTCTGTTTCATTAACATTAATTAATGTTAATAATTCTTTTTTCTCCACACCTAAAGCAGGGGTGGGGGTGATTTTCCGTGTATGATAAGAAGCCGAGGTTATAAATAATTCTCACAAGCATGATCACAATAGTTTTGTGATCAATAAGGATACACCCTTGTATTGATGTGCAGTTTCACCAACATCAGCAGAACTCCTCAGAGACAGGCAGAATCTATGTACTGAGCTCCAGCTCCTTTGCAATGTCAAAGCCTTAAAAGCAGAGCAAGTAGGTCACCTAACATAGCTCCTAGGAGGGCAGAAGGAAAGGGAATTAAAAAAAAAATAAATAGAGGGAGAATTAAATATACAGAATAAAATATCTATTTGGGACTAGAGGGAGTGGGAGTGGAATGCTTTTCTCATCACAAGATTCCTGTGTCTTCCTTATTCCATAGAGGCATCTGCTCGAGTTGTTTGAGGGTGCTAATGAGAAACAGTCTATTGTTCTTAATAGGTGTTGCTTAGGCCACTCACCTGAGACAAAAGATACCTTTGTTCAGATCTCTACTCCGGGATGAAAATCTCAGTTTGCTGCCTAATGTGTGTTGATAATAATTGACCATCCTGGAATAAATAGGAATCATGTGTTTTCTTTGGACTCACAAAAATTTTTGTCATACCAGGGCTTTTTATTGAAAAGCTTTGGGTTTCATGAAATCAACTAAAAATAGTAATTAAAATGTTCTGAGTGACTTTTGGGGTTTAGTTTTTTCCTCAAATTTGTTGCTCTGTCACTATAATGACCAGTCAAATGATTTATAGCACTTCATTTTTTTTTAAATTTAAGAATGTTACATTATTTTTTAAGAATAGTTTTAGACATGTGCTAATTTTGTGTGCACTTTCAGGTGCAGAATACTTTGGGAGAATAATTCTTCTGCCTTTATTCCAAGATAACTTTTGGTACACTGATCTCTGGGTGATCCGAAATATTTACTGAATTAAAACAATAGATCAGAGTATAAATTACATTATGATCTGTTTCTCACAAAGTCAGACCATGGAAGTCAGACCAGAAGAGTTTCCATGGAGCTAAAATTTTGAACAGAACCAAAGTAAGAAGAGTAACTACATGACAACGGGAGGAAAGGAAGGCTTCTGCTTAGAATAATTGATTGTTAATGTAGTGATGTATGGCAAAAGAGATGACTTACCAAAGTATATATATATATATATATATAAAATTCTCTTAGATTGTTACCTCCTTTGTTCAAAACTTCAGTTAAAGAGCAGCATGTAGGAGTCACTGTCACTTCCTGAGTCGTGCCTTAGATCAGAAACATTTGCAGAAGCCATCTGCTTTGTGGAATTCAAGTATGCAGCATGTATAAGTTTGAGGTATGACTCATGGATATGATGTAGAAAATGGGTCGGTCTTTCTGAGCTCTGAATACCTGATTTCTGTACTTTGCCAGATTGTTAAAAGTTTAGAGAAAATGAAGAAATAAATCAATTTCTGGAAAAGGCTTGGGATAAGAGAATTGATGATAGATGCGCATTATAAATGTGGCAAATTATTTTTCTTTGTTGTGTTCCTCTCCTGTTGGGGCTTGTATAAGTTAATTTGGAGAAGTTCACTGAATGAAATTATGTTTCCTTATTTATTGAAGAACCATGGTGATTAGGTAAACAAAGTCTGTGATCCTTTTGCCTTAGGAGAGAGACGTGAAACAGATCCATTCCCCTCCATTGTCACACTTACTGTGTTTTAAATTTCTGTTAAAAAAACCCCAAACATCTTACAAATTAATTAGTTTATCAATAAAGAAAACATTACATTGTCAATATCAAGTTGACATTAGAAAAAAAGGCATCCATGTTTCTTAGCATCCTCAAACTATCTCATCTTTCACCTCATCTAATGGCACCTTCTAGTTAAGTAAAATTAAAAATCAACAAGTTTATCTGAATGCAGATCTCTGGTGTTATTTTTTTTTATTGGTGCTATGTTCCTTTCTTATTTTCTGGCCTAAGTAGAACCAGGGAATAATACCAGGCTTATATTTCAAAGCATGAAGCTATTTATAGGATGTGGCGGTATTGACTATGTTTCTTTCCAAGCCTATACAACAGAAATTGATTTTTCATTTGTAATGAGTTCATTTTAGTACTTTAATACAGAATAAACAGAGAAAGAGTAAGAAAGAGAGCAAAACTATAAACTGGTCTTTGTTTTTTAAACTGCAGGTAATGGAACATTGATTGGAGCATCTGCAAATGTTGTTTGTGCTGGAATTGCTGAACAGCATGGTTATGGCTTCTCTTTCATGGAGTTCTTCAGGTACAATTTTAAACTTATCACATTAAATCTGATGGGTTTTTTTTCTCTCCAGGAAAACAATGAATCTTCTAAGGAGAAAAATCTAGCGAAAGGGTCTATAAAAAATAGACTTGTGTTCCTTATTTGGTTTTGGCAACTGAAATGCAGGTGGAAGGCAGATCACTTTATTTTTTTATAATGTTGATAGAATTCATGAAGCTGGTGGGAGCACAGTGGAACTCCAGGAGAAACAAAGCCTCCAAAATTCCTTCTTTGATCACCCCCAATCCTCAGCTTTGTAGAAATTAAAAATCGTTGCTTTATTGTAAAATGCTGTTTAAACCTAGTTTCTCGTCTGCACATTTTCATGGATGTTCCATCATCAGGAGAAACTGAAATGTCCTAATTTAGACTGAGTTGATTTTTACTTCACGATCCCATAATAAACTATTTACTTAATTTTTTTGACCAGCTACTTAGCAACTATGAATGAAAGTGTGATGAGCAGCCAGTAATAACTCAAGCTGCTGCTTAATAATTGTTTAATTCATAATTAACAGAGTTTTTACTAGCGGAGTTTTCTTTGCAGGTCATTCATCAGCATGTTTTTAAGGGACAAGGTGTACTTAATGCATACAACAATTTAATATTTTTCAAAATACTTCCAGTTTTTGAGACTGTGGTTCAAGGATAGCAAATTGAGGATGAAACAAAAAGTTCAAGTTTAAAGTGTAATTGATTTAGCTAAAACATAATTCCCTGCTTCTTTCTTTGTTTAGGGCACAGGATACTGTTTATCTCACATGGATATATTTTTTCTCTTTAATTTCTTTACATTGTTTATTATAGTTTCTCATCTCTATCAGCTTTCCTCTAAACTGTTTACCTCAAAGTCCTCAAACCTGTGCGGTTTATATGATTAATCACACAGGATTTTCTGGAGCCAAGTTAATGATAACTCTAAAAAGAAAGGTAGTCCAAAGTGCTGTTACTAAAATTCAAGCTGTGAGGATGTGCTACTCATAGCATTGTTTAGCTCTCCACCCATAGTCTTCTGATGATATGTTTTAGAAAGGCAGATGCCTATAAAATCAAAGGCTTGGTTGTCAGGATCTTTGAGACTGAAGATCAGCCTTATGTAGTACATAGTAATAGCTAACAGATTTCCTGGAAGTCAAGCCCTTGCACAAAAAAATAGTAATGCAGTAATAATGGGCTTGTGGATTGCACAGTTCATTATTCACATGTTTTAACTTTGACATTTGGAGATTTAACTTGTATGCAGCATTAACAGTGTGTCCTCTATGTAGATTTTGTAATGAAATGTTATTAAAACTTCTTTGAGACTGACTGAGAAAACAAATCTCTTCAGCAGTGTTTACTGGAACTTATTCTTTGGTAAGACTGACGACAGTAGGCAGGTGCTCTGAAATTGCCTTCTACACATGTGCTTTTGGTGGAAGCAATTTCTGGGAAAGACTGTAGCCACCTTGAACAATGACGTGAGAACAGAATCCATTGTGGTATCAGGGAGATAGCAGTGGATATTAATTAGTAAAAAAACCATAAAAGCCCACTTTTTCTGCTTGCCGTTTAATCACTGAGCAGGCAAAGCATAAGCTTCTTCACAATTTGTGTTAGGAAAATATTTGTTTCAGTCAAACATTCACACGTTTTAAGGCTTCTCCTGGCATCAAGAGGTGTTTTGAATATCCCTTTGAGGCTTTTGATTTTGCTTACCTTTATTTATTAAGGTTGCCTCAAAGTATAAAGTGAATTTTCTGCATTCCTTCCCTGTTTGCCCAGGATGACTCAATGCATTTCACATTCTCATTGAGGGGTCCTCTGCAGTGCATCTCCCAGCAGACACACTGGTTACCCTCTCATTTTATAAACCCCTGTGAGTCACCAGAGAAATATCATAGATACCTTTTGTGGGGAGTTGATGACCCTCTGCTGACTGACTTTTGTTAAGATGTATTTATATCAGCCTGAGCTGGTTTTGTTCTGCCCTTCCCAGGTGTCTCTGTACAGGAAACCCATGCCATGTCTGTCTCAAGTGGTACCTAGTGTCATACAGCAGAGTTCTCTATTCCCAGTATACTTCTTACCTAGCTGAATGCTGAACCAAATCATGCAAATGTGTTTAAGGGGGGCGGGGGAGGGCTTGGCTAGAAGCAGCTTTTTTGAAAACCATGTTTTGACACAGTAGTCTGTAAGAGGAATTCCAGACAGGGTTGATAGGCATGTCTGGTGAGTACACCTCACAGAGGGTGAGATTCTATGTAAGCTGTGGTTCCCCATGCTGAGAGGCACGATGATGACTCTGTGCAGGGAGAGAAAAAGGCAAAGAAGCAGGTTCCTTGCTCTGTAAGAGGGTGTGTGGGCTCATGACCTTTCCTCTGTGTGTCTTTTTGCAGTGGCACTTGCCTGTTTCAAAGTTCATCTACTCATTTTAAGAAGGTAGCAGAGCTAATCCAGTAGATGTGTTTGCAGTGCTATTCTGTGTGTATTGTGTGTATGCAATGCTATTCTGGCTGCCCAGCCAGAGCCAGAGGTGGCCAGGTGTGATAACTTGCCTGGAATGCTGAGTTTTCACCAGCTTGATGTGCTTCTCTCTGGAGTGCCTTCCTCAGAAGAAATCCTGTGCTGGGGAGGTGCATGACCATCACCATGATGCTACAGTCTTTCAGAAATCTCTCTAGCCTCCTGGGGAAACCTCAGAACAACAACTAACTTCTTCTTTCCCTGAGTCCTACTGCCTCAAGGACCTGGTGTTCCACAGATGGATGTAAGGGGAAGACAGGTCTGGTGTCCCATTCTCACCATCCAAGTGACTTGTTCTGGAAGTGCTGTGCCTGTAGGGTGGTTCCAGCAGGATGGCATTTAGGTGAAAAATATTATACTGAGAAAGAAGAGGGGAAGGAATAGGGCTCCCTCTCTGTGTTGAAGCACCTTAAAGCAGCCTGATGTTCAGAATACACTGCTGGTTGAGGAGATATCAGGTCATATCCATGGATGCCTGGCGGTGAATGTGCTGGCAAGTGTCACCAAATATCCATTTCAGAATGCATTCAGATCTTGCTCTCTTCTCTGACATTACTCATCAACACGTGTAGAGACCATTTCTGTCTGAACAGTGCTCACAAGGGAAAAAGCAAGATTGCCCGTGAGAGAGGGTCATTTAGTTGCCATGAATTCTACTAGCTGTTTCCAGACCTTGTGAGCTTTTTTGATTATTTATTATGTTCCACTGAAATAAACAGTGTCATACATAATTTACAATATACAGTATTGTAATAAGTTTAATTTATCACCATGAAAATATTTTTATCTTTGAATCTGTTAGACATGGTGGTAGAAAAACAAAAAGAAGCATACAGCAAAAAGGAAGAATAGGGGACGTATGGGCCTCATTGAATGGGGAAAGGACCTGCTGACAAAGGATGTGGAAAAGGCAGAAGTTCTCATTGTGATCAGCTGCACAATGTCCTGCTGAAGACCAGTCACTAATGCTGCTCCCCAGGCTTATGAGTCCCAGTAGTGCCTTCCAAGTCCTGCCACTCAGAGATCCAGCTTTTAACCAGCCTGAGAATCATGAAGGCAAATAATGAGTGACTGACACTGGATGATTCATTTGGGATAACTCAAATTCGAAAGGAATGAAAGCAACGTTATGAGAAATACAAAATTGAAAGTCGTAAAAAGAATAAGCTCAGAATAATAATTTCCTTAAACATGCTCTTGCATTTTTGGCATTAGTACAGCCAAATTATGCTCTTGTTTCACTTTGAAAACTTCCTCATCAACCTCTATTTATGTGCTCTATCTTTCCTCCTGAAAAAAAAAAGTTAGATGTACCCTAATATTTCCTTATCCTTCTAGTAATTTAGAAGGCAAGAGCTGAACATGATATTCCAGCCACAGTCCTCTTATTTTTTTCACATTTAAAAAAGATAAGATTTAATACAAAATGTGGAGCTATTTGCCTTTTCTTAACCTAAACAATATTAAATTCCTGTTCAACTTGATACTCAGTGTAAATCCAAGTCTCAGTTTTCATGTTACTTACATGAGTGTGATTATATCTGCTCTCTCCTCAAATTCTTATACTTTTCCTACACTGTGGACACAAAGACAAGTATTTAAGTGGTAAAAATAGAAAGAATTGTGAGTCCATGAGGCTTGGAAAAGGATATAGAGAACAGTGGGATATTTGCTGTATGTGGTCAAGAGTGAATATCAGAACAAACATCAGAGCAAACAAATGATCATTATGTCTCTAGACAGAAGTTCAACTATTTTCATAGTCTTGACCCTGTAGAAAACATCAGATGTGTTAATAATATGAAGGTAATTGCTCAGAGACAGCATTTATGAGTAAGCAGAAGGCAGGGAAAGATAATATTCCCATTATGATTTTAGTCTAGTTATCAAAGAAATGTTACACATAAATAAGAGCTTAACATAAAGGAAAACCCCAAATATAGGAGAGTACTCTTCTCTTGGCAAATGGTCAGATAAAGACATTGTAGTCTTGTTGCCTGGCTTAATTACAGAGGTTTACATAATGATTTTATATAAATTCAGACTGTAAAACAATCAACAGAGCTTTGTTTTTCTCAAGGGATAAGATAAATAACATTGCATATGTCTCTTTTAATCTAGATGCTTCATTTCATGATAGTTTTCTAAATTTTTACTAGTGTATATCTGAGTTTGTTTGTTGCAGTATAGCATTCTACTAGGTCAGACCACCCCATGGAACATGAAAATGAAGCAGAGAAATCCTTTTGTTACCAGTGAAAAATTTGATTCCAGCTCCATAACATAAGAGTTTCTCATTGCTGTTGGGATTTTAATAACCTTTTTTTACTTGCTAATCCAATTTACAACTTGACTTTAATTTTCTCTGTAAGTTAGGCATTTATAACCTTATAAAGATATATAGAATTTCAAACGTAAAGTAACTTATGTTCCTTCATCCTATTGTAATCCAATATCAATCAATCCTCTGTGTC